TTAAATAAATATTGATAATAGTTCTGTAAATTTGTGCATTTTTGAAAATTTCCCAAAATTCAGTATCAAGTGGGTCTAAATTTAGTCTGCTGGTTATAGTTTGCTCATGTTTCCCCTTGGTTCTTTCTCAACAAGCTCAAATAATTTATTTTCTAAAGCCTGAATTCAATTTTATAACATATTGTCAATCAACTGTTTTTACTAATGATTCACTCTTACACAATAATCTAAAAATCTTAACAATAGTGTTAGTTTCCTGGCATAGCCCAAAGGAGCTAAACTGATGCATTTTTCAACTTCATGTGTCATTCTCTAATTTGATGTAATACATCATTTTTATTTATTAGTAAGAGCCTTATTCATCATATGTTTTGTGATCATTTTAATGATAATCATTATTTTATGACACAATACAACAAACCCTTTGATATTATTCAAAAATAAGCCATAGCTTAGTAACATAATAAATAAACTTAATCTTTTTTTGTAGTCTGAAGAAATATGTTTAGCTTTCCTGTGGCACATATCATTCTTTACTTTTGCTGATCATCTGTCAGTAAGTGTTGAAATATGGAGATAACCGTACTCTCACTTTTGAGAAACTAAATTTGGCAAATGCAGTAAACTAAAGCACTAGTACGGGTAACTACAGTCAAGAGCTATTATTCCCTAATGGCCAAGTGAACTTGAATTCACAACAGTTTCTTTGAACTAAGAATTTCAGCATATTACATTCCACCAGAGATTCTTATCTTTATTTTCCAGTAAAATATTCTTTTTCATTTGTGATGATGATTAGAACATTACTTGCAACTACTTACAACCAAAAGAATATGTTATAATCTAAGTGAAGAACCATCTAAAACTGAACAGTGTACAGATGAGTGCCTACACATCATTAGACTAGAGAAAAAGGGAATCTTCTAGACTTACAAAGAAATATTTTATTCCAACACATTCCTCAAGTCTGTTGAGAACCCAAGATTCACAGATCATATCTGAATCTCTCTAAATTCCTAAATGTGATGGGAGACCTCATAAGAATCCATTCCATGTGTAACTGCCAGCAGTTTCCTTTCCTAGATAGGTCAGAAGCATTCCAGGATGATCTTTTGCCCCAACAAGTATAAAATGATCTTTTCTGGGCCCAGAACTGCTCAGAAACAAAAAACCAAAGTAACAGTTACACAATATCATACTTACTTAAGTATTTTTTAAAACATTTACAACAAATGTTTAAATGCTGATTAATTTAAACAGATTTTGTGTGTTAAGAGTATGTTTCCTAAGGCAAGTATTACCTTATACATTTTGCTAATATAGAACCACAAGATAAATTATCAGGTAAAGGGGAAGTGGACTGCAACTCCAGAGATAGATTCTAATCTTGTCCCAGTAACTGAATGAGCAGGTACTTAAATTCTTCATAACTTGAAAATGAAAGTATCAAATAACTGTAGAGATGATAATTAGGGATACGATAAAGTAGAAAAACGTTAAGTTGAGGGTCAGGAGACTGACTGAGGTGAGGAGACAGCACCATCAATCAGTGGTATAATTCTGTGGATTTCTTCGTTGTGTTTGCGGTATCTGTACCACTAGTGTTGGTGTAGTTACTACTCAAGTCACTGAATTCCCTAGGTCTCCATTCCCATGCATTCTAAATAACAGCAAAACCAGCTCTCACTTATGAGGAGCCAACTCCTTACCAAGAGCTATGCTAAGAACCTCTCATTCATTATCTCATTTAATCCATCTCACAGGCCTATTATTAAGCCCATTAAACCTAGGAGGCTCAGGAAGGCAAAGCAACTTGTCCAATGTCACCCGGAAAATTAGTAAAATAGCTGAGATTTGAATCAAGGTCTTCCATCATCAGAGCCCAAACCCTTAAGCCCTATAGTGACTCCAAAGTAAGTTCAGTATAACTGATGCCCTTCCTTTGATAAAAAAATGAAGAAGATGGTTCTTAGGTGAAAAGTATAGCAATAATTGTGTTGTTCTGCTAGAACCTTCAAATAATCTCTCAAGGCCCACTACAGAAGAATAAGGCCACAGAACTGTTTATCAGACATATCAGTTTATCAGACATAAAAGAAGAATTTGAACTATATGAGCAGTAAGATCCCTTCTAGTCATAAAATATAAGATTTTAAAATGTCTATTAGAAGTTCATAGTACTTTTTAAAAATAT